AACTCTGGAGAAGCCTGGTCATTGGTTTTCTTATCTGTAAAATAAGAGCATTGATCAAGCTCCATGATTGTATGAAGGCAAGGAGGAGCTGATATGAAATCTCTACATAGCTATGTAATTTACCCCTTGAAATACACCATTGAAAAAGTCTTTAGGACTCGGTAGTAATTGGCTCTCTCCCACCATTAATTACATTCTGGCCACTCATCAGCTAACACTATTGTCAGACTCCTTCAGCAAAATGTCTTTTTCATAACTGAGGACTGTTTACAGTAAGGACAAACAATTGGGGCTCATTAATTCAATCATTAGGACACTGATTATACATCTATTGTCTCCTCCAGTCAATTATGTTAAATAAGCTCTTCAGTCTTCATCAGAACAATTATGCTAATATGCTTGAAATTTCCCAAGAGTATTATACCTTCATACACTTACCCTGCCTAGCAGCGGCCTCGCTCAGTCAATATTGTCACACACAGATAATTATAAATAAGGCATAAAGCCCTATTGCTGACATACAACTACCAAATTATACCCTTACAATAGAACTTTAAACAATTCGTGTATTTATTCTTTCAGAGTTAGATATTGGCTTGTTTAGTTTTTTTTTTTTAAATATGTAGATCTTAGATAATATTTAAATGCCTTTATGGGAGTGCTCATTGCATTGGAATTATATTGTAATTTTCCAAGTAATATTTGAGCAATCATTGGATTAGCTATCCAATGATCAATTGATCCAATGACTATTTATGCCTTTAAATATATAGCCAAGAAATATTAATTATCAGATGTCTGGAGAAGGATGAGAAATATAACTTGTTTTTGCCAAATATTTTTCTCTCAACCAGAGCCAACATCTCTCAATCTCTTTCTCTTTAAATCTAGAAACTCCTGCCTGTACGGTTTGTATTCTTGAATGATTTTGGCCATAGAACAAGAATTTCCCATCATAATCAACCAATGCTTTTATGATAGGCACATAACAGATACCTGATAAACATTTGCTGGATTCAATTCTTTTTTCTTGTTTATGCTTTATTCTTGTTTCCAGCATTTCCCAGCATATGTTAAAGTTTTCATTTTTAACACAAACTAGCATGTGAATAAGGAATGTGTGTGTGTTTAGAGGCAGATGTATACATCTTCAATGTAAGTTCATTAAAAACATGAAATTTCATCGTATTGAGATAAAAATCCAGGTGGTTTCAGATTTTTTCCATTATCATTTACAACAAAAGTAACCTCACACTTTTGTTCTTTAGAATTTTTACTTAGGTTACCTATCTCATTTAATCAGTGTCCTTTCAGATGCAAATAACTGGATCTTATCCTTAAGATATAGTAATGCTCACTGCAACTTAGTTCCACCAGGATGAGTGAATATTGAGATTGGATGCTGAAAAGATAATAGCTAAATTGAGGGCAAATACAAACTGGAAGGATGGGGCAAAGCTGTGTAGAATGTTTGCAGATCTGACAGACACAGAATTCTTTTGCTACACAAATGCTGGATTTCACCTTACTTTAGTCTTAATATTCTAGTAAGGGTACGGGAGGACGATTGAGAATGAAATGCTGTATAACCTAAATGGGGAGACAAAACATACATACATGAGAAGCTAAAACATTGCTCAAGACTAAAGTAACAGATCAAGGTGTTAATCAAAGTGAAATCATGGTATGTATATCATTCTGACTGTGAAAGGAAACTCATAGGTGAGTGATATCCTTTTGGTTAGAGTAACCAGGAAGGGCTTTCTGGATTTACCAAAGAGATAGACTATGAGTTATGTCTTTTGGAAAAATCAGTATTTATATATATTCTTTAAATTCAAGCTACAGAAAAAATGATATTTTTTTCCACTTATGACTTCCAGATTCCCTTTCCAGAAGTAACCATTACCATTTTTTTGTCTTTTCAGTACATTTAACTACTTTTAAATTGAGTTGATTTTGCCTTCATTGATTTTGCAATGTCATGAGTAATGAAGAGTTAAACTCGGTATCTATCCATATAAGATCCACTTAATGTAATTTATACAATAAGGACCTACTGATTTTAGGTTTTGAGGTACCCTAGTGGATTTCCAAGTTGATTGTTGCCACGGCAATCCCTGCTTTATCTGCCTTCAGTTTCTGTCTTGACCCATTTTGGTTTAGATGCATTTCTAGCTGAGGGGACCGTAGGCATGCTCCCGTTTCTAAGCCCTTTGGGAACTGCATTGGTAGCCAGATTGCCTCTCCTCCTCTTTTCTCAATCCTACACATCCTGGAAGGCTTCCTAAATGGAAAAGTTAGGAACCCAAAGTCTGACACTTTCGGAGAGATGGTCTTACTTACCTCAAGTATATCATCCACTGAATTAACATACCTTTCAAAGTACCCAACTCCCATCCCAGCGGCAGATTCTTTGAGAATCCCAATCAGCCTTGCTTTTGTTTCCATTGCTACTCACCCGGATGAACACCCAAATGTACGCTCTGGTCACATAGGAGAAAATATTTGTGTGACCCAGAGTAGCTTTTTATAGGCCATTTCATATTAAACTGGTTGGCTTGTGTTAGCAGGAAGGACCAAAAAACAGAAATAGGCTTCCTACTTCTAAACTGGAGTCTTTGCCCTAGCCCATCCTCCTTAGTGGCTCTGGGAAGTGGAAGCAGAGGCTTAGGAGGTGGAACAGCTCCACCAATTGGCTTTCTGGGTCTTCTCACAAGCTATTTTTAAAAAAGGGGTGAGCAGAGCTGCTTCTAAAATGACAATGGAAGAAAACCACCCTGGAGGTCAACTTTTGAAGAAAGAATTTCTGCTGAGTAGGTTCATCTTAGCATAAATGCATGAAGGCAACAGAAGGGAAGAAATATTGACAATTATTTTCTTTTAATGTCCAAGCCCTACGTTATTCACTTTGATATTTATTTTAATAATCACACAACATATTTGAGTAGCTATCATTACAGGTGAGTTCCACTTGACAGATCACAGATTTGGAACAGAGTTGAATTCAAAACTATTGGCCTACCTCTAGGGTTCATGCTCTGCATCACAACCTCTCGAAGAGAAAAGTACTTCTATGTTTGAGGAGAGAGATGGTGGAAATGAAGATTTTGAAAGGAAATCTGGAAAACCTGTAAGGCTCAAGGAAAGACCAAATCAATCTCCAGAAGGCACCTTCCTCAGGGAAGCTTTCATTTCTGAAAAGAATGCATATTTCAAGAACTCTATTTGAAACGGTCATTTGTTACTTCCTGTTAATTGATTTGTATTTTTAGTGCCCCGTTCCAGCTTGTTTTGAGTTAATGAAATCCATGAAGGAGCCCATGAGATCGGGCGCTGGACAGGGAGCCAAGAAAACCATGTCATGTCTCTGCTACCAACTAACCTGTATGAGACCTAACTCCGCCCCAACTTTAAGTTCTATGGTGCTTCCTGCCTAACAGTTTAATACTTGATGTGACTGATTAGTTGGGTTCAATATTCCAGCAGAGATTTGGGTGTCCCTAAGGTAAAAGCGAAGTTACCCGGGGTCCCCATCAGCTTTGAGCAGCCAGCAGCTTAAGGCCTTGCGGCGCAGATGTGTGAAGTTGGGCCTAAGAACTTCACCTGAACACGGAGAAACGAAGGGGAAGCTAATTCAGCACTTAAGGGGTATCGTGCTTACCTTTTAGACTTCACAAGGATCGTTAAGACAATGCATTATTATCATCATTTTCCCAAAGAGAGAACCAAGATTCAGGTTAAACAAAACTACCTGGCATCCTCTACCCAGGCCCTGTTGCTCACGGAAGATCCCCGCCCTGGGCTTATTTACATCTCGGACTCAGCCCTGGTTCACCACCACGAGGGCCCCGCCCACTCGCCCGCTCATTCGCTTCTGGGCGCGCCCAGTGTGCGACCGACACCGCGGTTTATGCGGAATCCTCTTTCTGCCTCTGGTTCGTATGGTTTTCCGCGCGGGCCCCAGGCCTCCCTAGGGGATGAGCACGTGTTCACTCCCGGCTTGCCTAAAAAAGGTGGGCAGGCGGCGGCCACCAACAGGCCCCACCCAATGGCGCTAGAGGGGCCGAGGAGGGGGACGAGGGCCAAGGCAATGAGGAACGCGGGATCGCCGGGGTCCGTTTTCCCGGAGCGGCAGGATACGTGCTTTCCCCTTCCTCCCTTCCCAGAGCCTCTCCTGGGAGCACACCGAAGACGAAGTCAACCGAAACCACGAGGGTCCCACCCCACCTCGTCCTCGGCTGCCGGCCGCCGGCTGCGCCTCGCCTCACGCTCTACGGGGGAGGCGGGACCAATCAGCGAGCGACGTCTCCCTTCCGATTCGAGGCCTTCGACGCGCGGCTCACACCCCGCGCACCTCGCGCGCTGATTGGCTGCAAGCGACGCCGGTCGGGCCGGGGGGGCGGGGAGGGCCTAAGGGAAAGGAGGTGGGGTGGTAGTGGCCGCGACTCGCGGAGCCCCGCTCGCGCCCTGGCCCTTCCCGGGCGCTCGACCTCCTTCTTTTCCTCCTCCGCTCGCCCCATCTTCTGTGCGCGCCGCG